AAAAATTAGTTAGAATAAAAACTAGAGAACCTATGATTATAACAGACACACCCCTAGATGTTTTTGACAAAGTTTCACTAGACACAGTAGGAAAACTTCCTACAACCCCAGACGGAAATTGTCATATTCTCACGATGCAAGACCATTTATCCAAATACTGTATAGCAGTTGCAATTCCAGATATTTCAGCAACTACTATTGCTCATGCTGTTGCAAAGGAATTATTTTCAGTGTATGGAGCCCCAAAAGTAATTTTAACAGATAAAGGTACTTTTTTCATTGGCAAATTAATGTCAAAATTATCCAAAATTTTCAAAGTACAACAAGTTACAACCTCTGGTTATAGGCCCCAAACAAACGGCGCTTTAGAACGCAGTCATGCCGTTTTAGCCGACTATATAAAACAATACACTAAAGACTATGATGATTGGGACAAACTACTGCCCTTTGCAATGTTTGCCTACAATACATCCGTACATGAAGCCACCAATTTTACCCCTTATGAGTTAGTTTTTGGAAAAACTGCTCGCTCTCCTAGTTCTTTTCCTCAGGAAATTAAATTAGAAACATATGGTTCCTATTTGACTGAACTTATCACCAAATTAATTGAAATTAGAGCACTAGCAGCTAAAAATCTAATAAATGCTAAATTAAAGTCCAAAGAAAGGTATGATAAATTTATCAAACCTTTTCAAGGAAAAATCGGTGATAAAGCTTACGTCATGAAAGAAGGTTTAAAAAGAAAATTCGATCCTCATTATCATGGTCCATACAGAATTGTGGATATTCTAAACAAAAACAATGTTATTCTAATAAATGATGATGGTCACAGGTTCCAAAAACATGTAGATAAGTTAAAAATTGCATATGAATAACAATAATAACATGATTTTAATTTTTAGATGTCCGAATCCATAATTTTCTCCCCACCACTACAAGGAGAAATGGTATCAACTTCTACGTTTCCAAAAGGAAACATAGACAACATATCATATCCAAAAGGAATACTCGAGGAATTAACGGCAGAATACAACCTTAATAAACCCAATTATATAGTTGACAAAACCACAGGACCCACTTTTAATAAATTGTGGCAAGTGAAGTGCACAGTAACAGACAATAAGAACAATAACATGTTTGTTGCTACTGGAAATGAGTGCAGAACAATTAGGGAATCGGAACATTCAGCAGCCAAAATAATCCTAAAAGAATTAAATGACACTTATTTCTTTAGCGAAGAAGAAAAACCCAAAAACCTAAAACGAAAAATTTATGTAATGTCCCACGACGAACCATCAGTACTAAAATTAAAACTTTTCAAATGGGAAAACTGTTGCGAATATTGCTACAAAAGAGGGCACATTAAAGAACAATGCTTTAGCGTAATCAGAAATAAGAAAATATTAAGAAAAGAAAATCCAACAACAAGCGTATCTGACGATTCAGACGAATTTTGGAATTTACCAGCTCCTACCCTACCATGGGACTAAAATAACGCGATAGATTCCAATTAACAGTTATTTCAATAAGCCATGTATAAAATTTTAATAAATTAACTGTTAATAGGAAATTAAATAAATAAATAAATAAAATAAAAATAAATAAATAAGGATAATATAAATAAAGAATACACATATATATATATATATATATATTCAGTTAATTAAAAAATATTTAATCACCCATATAATTATCCATAATAAAAAAAAAAAAAAAAAAAAAAAAAAAAAAAATGTATACTCCTAATTTAATCAATAAACCAAACAAAACATTAAAATAAAGACGAAAGAAAAGAAGAAAGAGGAATGGTGGTTGCCTTCTTCTTTCCTCTTTATTTTAAACAAGAAAATAATTATATGTAAATAAATAAATATACAATTACATATAAAAGACGAAAGAAAAGAAGGAAGAGGAATGGTGGTTGCCTTCTTCTTTCCTCTTTTATTTAATAAAATCCATAATTATAATTAATTAGTCACAATAATATAATTAAATTGATTAATAATAATAACAAAATCCCACAATTAAAATAAATTAACTAAGTTATAATACAATTGATAAACTAAATAAATAATAAATTAATTTTAATATTAATAAATAAGTAAAATATAATTTCGTATCATATATAATCAAAAATTATAGATATAAAATAACATCTGTTAAAATAAATCTGTTTACAGATGGAAATTCCCGTTATAAGTTGGATATTAAATGCCAAAGACTACATCACAACAATTAAAGATGGTTTTATACTATTCTTTCAGCTACTCTTACTAATAATAATTATCATCATAGTAAGAAAACTGTACTTGTGCTATTTATTAATAACCACAAGATGGAAAAGAAGAAGAAACCAAACACCAATAGTACAAAATTAATGAAAAAGAAAAAATAAATAAATAAATAAATGGGTTCAACCACTCCATTACATTGAGGGCAATGTAAAGTCTAAAGAGGGAGGAAAGGTCTCAAAAATCTGCAAAAATTTCGACAATTTTAAGCCCAAAAACAACAAAAATAAAAAAAAAAAAATGAATAGAGCATAAGACAGCATAATTCAAATAAGTGCGCCAGCTTTAAGCACGCATCGATTGTACATCGACCGTGCTCGCACCTCTTTTATTATGCATGGTACACCGCGATGGCCGAATAGTGGTTCCACTCAACCACGTGACCAATGCATGCAAGTACCTCCAGTTTAAGAGTAAGACGCGCATGCCTTGCCGACTTCCATCATGAAAGAGCGGCAAATGATTCAAATTCAAATTAATTCTTGCTCTCAAATGATGAAAAATCGAACGTAAAACCACATAATTTTAACATTATTAAAAGATTACTAATCAATGTACAATATGCTTTGAAAATTAATGCTCTTTAAAATACTAATAAATTAATTATATTGTTACTAATTTTAAGCTAATAAATAAATTAAAATTTTACAATAATACTTTGGGAATAATAATAATATAAAATATTGTTAATAATTTGTAAATTATATTCATATCAAATAAGTAAACAATTTAATTATTAATTAATGATGATTAATAATTAACTATGGCTTTAATGTATTAACAATTAATTAATAATTTATTTAATAAACAAAAAAAAAATTTTTTAAATAATGAATAAATAAATAAATAAATAATTAAATTCAATTCAATAAACATCATTATTATTACTATAAACAAAAAAAAATAATAATAATAACAATAATAATAATTACTAGAATTAAATAAAATATTATCAATCACTAACACACTATATAATTATTGCTTTAATTAACATTTAACAAATTTAATAATTATAAAATTGCTATTAACAATTTTAATCAACTTTATTAAAATTACTATTATTAAAAAAAAAAAAAAAAAAAACGAATTACATATTGATATTAAAGAATTATTATTATTGATTAATAAATTTTGGTATACTATAAACATATACCAAAATAATGTAAATTTAAAGAAAATTACTTAATATTTAAGAGCAACATCAACTTTTAATTTTTAAATAATTATTATTAATAAATAATGAGGTTTAAGAGACTCAAAGCAAGCCTCAAGTATCAGGCGAATATAAGGAGGGAGGAGTCGATTCACCGCGCGGAGGAGTGAAAGGCCCCACGCCCACTGTCCAATACTCGCGCGCTGGGTCTCATGCCTCTCCCCTTATACAGAGCGAAGCGAGAGCAGCTCGATCAGCCATGTTATCGGTCTCATGCCTCTCCCCACATACAGAGCAAGGCGAGAACCGCTCGACCCGCCATTATGTCGGCCAGACATATATTTCTATTATGCATTATTAACACAACAATTTAACACAAATTCCGCTATTTTCCTTTATTTTCTTTTAGAATAGCTTCATTCTAAGGTTATTATCATCGAACAATTTATAAATGAACAATTTATTTAAACATCTTTAAGTGCAGAATTGCTCGATAATAATAATTCCTTTTGATTATTATTTATTAATTGTTATTTATTAATTATTATTTATTAATTATTATTTATTAATTATTTATTAATTATTATTTATTAATTGTTATTTATTAATTATTATTTATTAATTATTAATTATTAATTGTTATTTATTAATTATTATTTATTAATTGTTATTTATTAATTATTATTTATTAACTATTAAAACCAAAAATATTGTTTTATAATAACTAATTACCCATTTTGGAAAATCTAATAAAATTACATTATAAACAACTGACTTTTTGCAAAATTATTTTGGAATAATTAACTACGACTAGTTAATTAATTGTTCCTAATAAAAACTATTAACATTAATCAGGCAAATAGTTGAAAAGAAATTATATATTAATTTTAATATTTTATGGTCAACAAATTCAATAAATTTAGCAATTTCGTCGATAAATTATAAATTATGTAAAATAATTGTTATGTCAAATAAGAATTCAAAAAAAAAAGTATATTCAAATTACTTACCTTTAATTGTAACTAGAACAGCAATGATGTTTTATAAGTTTGATTTTATGATTGTTTTTAAGCTTTAATTGGTTGACAATTACTAAAAATGAAAGTTTAAAAAAAAAAAAATAATAGAATTAAAAATTTTATTTGCAAAGATTGAAATAAAATAATTATAATTCATAGCAAGAATTTAAATTATTAACGGGATAGAAAAGGATAAATACTTGGTAAATATTAAGAAAAAGTCAATATTTTGTAATGAAAAATCTGAATTGTGATGCAAATCGAACAAGTTTTTCAAATTAATATTTTAAAACAAAACAAGTAAAAAACAGATAAATTGATAACAGAAAAGAAATCTAAGAAGGTGAATAATTTAAAGTAAGAAATTTCGATTGTAAAAAGAACGAATAAGAGAGGTTTTAGCGAAACAAATAATTGTATACAAAATTTATAAGAAAATGTCAAATTTATTCGGAATAATCACACGCGCATTCATACTACAAATGGAAAACACACACGCATATAAACACACATTACAATTGAACACGAAACATTAAAAATAACAAACAAAAAACATAATACACGAAAAGAAAAGAAAACCTTATATGTTGCACAAACCGCACATGCACAATTCAACTCTGCTTGGGACCAATTTTGGCAAACGAATTTCCTCCAGGATTATTTCTACATCCTCAGGTTCCCTATACCAGGAAGGCCCTGCTTGTGGTTGAAAGAAAGGCCCTGCTTGTGGTTGGAAGAAAGGATCTGTTTTTGGTTGAGAAGAAGGCCCTGCTTGTAGATAAAAAAGAGGCTCTGTTTGCAATTGAAAAGAAGGCCCTGCTTGTGGTTGGAAGAAAGGATCTGTTTTTGGTTGAGAAGAAGGCCCTGCTTGTGGTTGGAAGGAAGGCCCTGCTTGCACTTGAGAAGAGGGATCTGCCTGCGGTTGAAGAGCAGCATTAACCACAGGCTCAAGCCACAAAGGATCGTCTATAAGCGTCTTAATGTCCTTCACAGAAATTTTCGGTAGAAAAATTTTATTTAAGACGGAAGCCTTCATAGAAAGGTCCAGTGGTTTATCCTCAATTTCGGCCGACGAAATAAATTGCGGTACATCGTTTATCCACACCATGGTGTCCACAAAATTTCTTGGCACAGATTGTTCTAAACAAACAATATAAACAACAAAATTATTATAACAAAAAAGAAAAATTTCATATAAAATTATCAAAACAAAAGGAAAGAACCAATATAATAAAAATTTTGGATGTATAACAAAAAAAAATATAATCACCTGTCAAGTTCAATGTCTTATTGGGTAAAATCGAACACCCTCCACAATAGCATTGACTCGGACGATCTGGACGACTATATAAAATAAAAAGAAAAGGAAATTGTAAAAAGGAAAGAAGATAAAATACACAAAGGAATTAAAATTACACTCACAGAACAAGATTCAACATTGAAGTCAATTGTGCCGAATCCTCCTGAATTTCTGTCTTTAAACGACGTAGCTCCACATTTCGTGCCTTAATATCTAGTTTTTTTCGGTATCCTCCTCGTTTCGGACGTCCAGGACGCGCCAGTGCCTCCAGGCAATCCACCTCCGATATAGAACTGTGGATCGAAGCAGCCAGAACTTGCAAGGATTGCAAAAACGACTCCAATTTTATAGAACAAACTTTTTCAGACACTATAAACAAAAAATATATATATATAATTTTGAAAAAGCAAAAACAAGAACACTAATAGAAACACTTATGCGAATTATAACACTAAAAGGAATAAAGAGGATTACACTTCTTACTTTTATAACACGTGCGTACCTCGAGAAGTTAGATAATTACTGACGATGCTCCATGTGCTACCATCCTTTATAGGGATGCAAAATGCTGAAGTTGACAATTTGAAATCACCCTCATGGGAAACAAAAAGTCAACGACCGTCCTGAGAGAGAAGAAATCCATACGTACCTTACGAAGATGATTAAGACAACACAAACAGCACATATCATAACACAACAAACACATTGTATAAGTCGCATCACCATCCTTATCTAAGCGCCGCGAAATGTAAGAAGAGCGCAAGGATATTGATATCACTTTCAACACTACATGTAATTCATAATTAGGACAACAAACGATAGTCTCAATTTCAAAATTCTTAAGTCTCGACTTTTGTATCTAAACGATAAGAGTAGAATTTCATCGAGACGATGAAAAAGTAAGGAGGGAGGACTGTTACATCCCAGATACATTTTTATTATAAAAGAATATCTGAAATGTAACTTCACTATCTTATTTTCAACACATAATACCCGTGTTAAAAAGCGTAAGAATTCAAAATTGAGATAGAAATCATAAATTGACACTCTATACTTTGTCCTACATATTTGAAATAATAAAAAAAAAACAAAACAAGAGATAGAAATTGACAAAATAGAGAACAATGCGTTGAGTCAAGGAGTGACTCACGTAAGCTCGAGCGTACTTGCTATGACCTACTTTGTAACCCGAGCTCCGCGAATCACTGCTTGTAACTCTAGCTTCACTTTTTCCATAATCGAGGCAAATATTCAGGTTAATTTTCGAAGAACTGCATTCTTCCTAAAATCAAACTATAAATAGGACTATAATAAGCAGAAATGTAAATTCTAAGAAGGCAACATACTTTATCCCCATAATTAGCTATAAACTCTCCCACTTTTACTCATTTTAGAGTATATAAACGAAAGCTTCTTCATCGATAATTGTCAAAAGTTCCGGTGCGGTTTATAAGACCAGTAGTCATTGTAGAGCGACCCTTCAGTTTTTCATTATTTATTGTATTCTTTCTTTAATCGGCAACTGCAGTTCGAGTTGTACTCGGTTATTGTGCAAGTCAATTTTGTTATTCACTTAGAAACAAGTTTCTTTCCGTAAAAGGTGCAAGAAAAGCAATTTGACACTTAGAATCAATAATTTTAATGTATTAACTGTCGTATTTTGCGTGTCAAGTTTCATTAATTGTAGTTTTTTACCAATTCTTTCTTTAATTGGCAATTGCAGACCGAATTGTACTCAATTATTGTGCAAGTTGCTTTTCTCACACTTAGAAACAAGTTTCTTTCCATAATTAGGTGCAAGTGACGATAAGTAACACTTAGAAACGGTACTAACTCTTGAAACAAACGCAAAAACCCTAAAGTTGTGAAAGTTACATAAGTGTAACATAACAAACTTTCTCAGTTTCATTCAATTGAAACAACATCTTGAAAACCAAACTTATATCGACCAGCGCTTCAATTTTGAATCTACGACTAATCTGTAAACTAAAAGTAAGTAACATTGTATAATTTTGTAAACATACTCTTGAATATTTAAATAAATTGTTAAAAAGGGAATATTTATTGTTGTTATAACTCAAAACCCGTAGTTTTGACAAGTACAAACGATCCTACTTAAAAATAAAGGTCAAGCTTTACCAACTTGACCATAATCAGCCTACCATTCCTCCAAAATTCTTTAACCTAACCTATCAAACTCGCCTTCTGCTCGGGATGTAACAGACCACAAACCTAACTCTTTTAGAGGACGAAAAACAAAAGCCTCTAGAAGAAGAACAAACAGCAGTGTACATGAATCCTATTATAAATACTTTAGACGATGAAGAAGATATCAGCCTCAGTAAAGAATTTTCAAATAAGAAAATGGTGGATACTCATTTTTGTGACAGCAAAGCGTTCGAAGAAGAGGAAGAGAATAAAAAAGAACCTTTACAAAGGCCAAATTCGGAAAGAAGCAACAATATAAGCGAATCAGAAGAAAAGAGTGAATTGAAGAATTATAGTGGTAATAATGACGAAATTTCACAGCAAGAAAACAATATTTTTAAATCTGAAATTAGTCAGGAACTAAACGAGACAAAACCGGATCAAGATAGAAGTGAAAAAACAATTAAAGAAGAACATCATAAACGCTTTCGCGATAAAATTTTACTCAAAACGAACAAGAAAAAGAAAATAAGAAATAAAACAGATATACATAACTTAAAAATGAAAGCAGACACTATAAACACAGAAATAAAGAAGGAGGTAATGTTATTAAACACCACAACTCAGCAAAAATTGTCTACTACGAAAATTCTGCCAACCACACGGGAAAATAATTTGGGGAAGTTAAAATCAAAAAGAAAACTTCACACTTTAAAAATACGGACAATATTGCGAAAATTAGTTAAAGAAAAAGGGGTTTATATAGTTAAAGAGCAAGGATTTAACCTCAAAGAAAATTCGAAACGCAAGTCAAATACGCCTCACCTTGAAGAAATCGAAAAACTACAGGATAAAACGTGGAGAAAATTAGTAACAAAAGTTAACTCGGAGAGGTTAGGAAAAGGTTAGACATAGTCAAAATCAAGCGGGGGGGAGTCATAGTAGTTTAAGCATGAAACATATTTAACAATTTTCTTGGGTAAAATATTAAACTTACTTATTCCTTACAAATCTCATACACTAATTGTAATATAAATATAAATTAATTGTGTTTGACATTTATATTCTATTGTATTGTATTTTATTATATATACTATTTTATTCTCGCGTAGAGCAAAAAAAAGTCAAAATATTTTTAACAGTAAGAATAAAATGTCAAATAAAGACAAACAAATTAAAACAAACAATTAAAAATTAACACTATTGAATTATATAAAAAAAAACCTTGAAAAGATTAATAACAACAATTTTATTTAAGAAAACGTAAAGCCATTTTTAATGTTAAACTATTTGACCAGAACTTCTATTAGTAATGAAATTAAAAAATTAGAATGTTCCGTTTTTCTATAAATTCTCAATACTGTTTACCAATTTCTATTTGATACAGCATAAAAATTAAATAAAGAAACAGAGTTAAATTTATATAATTTAACATTTTTTCTTTTAATGTTGAACGTCTTTTAAAAGAACTATAAAACATTCACAAAGACTAAATCTATAATGTCTAAATCTACTTATTTTGATGACAAATGTTTTATAGTTAAAAAGACATTTTTTAAATCAAAATGTATTCTCGCTACCACGTATTAAAATAAGTTAATGATATAAGAATACAAATAACATTTTATTACAATTCAAAAAAATTATTTTAAATAGAATTTTTTTAAGAAAAGTATGAAAATTCACAATATTGCAGCCTATGAAAGTATTTTTTTGCGAAAATAAAAATTTGTTATCTTATTATTGTGTAATAAAAATATACTGCAACCTATGTAAAATTATTTTATAACGGCATTAATAAAAATTGAAATAATAAATAAATTCGACAATCTTCGTTAAAAAAAAAGTTTATAATTATAAATTTCTAGCAAAAACAATTTGTTATGATAAATTCAAATTTTGACACTATGAAATTATGTTTTTTCAAATCATTAAAAGTAAAAAATATTTAATGTATTCTTCGTTTGAAATTAATAGCACCCTAAATTAATTGTATACTAAAATTAGCTATAGGTTTTATAATTTACAATATACATTTAAAGATAAGGATCAATTAAAAAATACTTAAAATAATAAACGTTGTTACTCAAATTTTATAAAAAGGTGAAATGAAAATTTAGAAAAATTACATATCTTGAAATAAACGAATGCCTAGATTGGTAAAAATGCAATTAAAATAAAAACCATTAAAATTCTGTTTATTTTAGTAATATAGTTAAAAAGCTAAGTTTAAAAAAAAATAAAGCAGTTTTTTTTACCACTCTAGATCTGAAAATACTTAAAAAAGCGTCAAAATAAATACAAAAATAATATGCAAATAAAGAAAAAAAGAACAAAAGCATTTAGAGATGGCTGCCAAGGGACGTCAGCCTAATTAAAAGGGGGGCATGACAACAGAATTGTCGTCACAATTTTTTTTTCTTCTCTTTTCGAAAATAATAAAAAAATTTAATTATGACAATCACATGTAATACAATTTATGTAGTCATCGTTACGTTAACATATATGACACAAATGAAAGACGTCAGCGAATAAAGTCAAACTCGACAAAATACTTTTAAAATTTTATAACTAAACTAAAGACACAATAACCTACATAAATATCTTTACCAACGAAAAAAAATTTTGCTAAAAACACTTTAAATAAGGAACTTAGGTAAATACTTTATGTGAAATTCCTTTTTTTTAAGATGTTCTATAAATGAAAACGTATTTAATTTAATTTTATTTAATCATTCTCCAAGATCAACTTTTGTAAAAAAAACCATGTTAAATGGCATGTTAAATCGCATTTCATTTGGGACATGTTTTATAAATGAAAATATATTAAATTTTGTAAGGCTAGTTTTTAAAAAAGATTAACTTAATCACTCTCCCAGCTAAAATTTTTGTAAAGAAAGATAACTAGGATACGATTTTTGTAAAACTCAAACGAGTTATATCTAAAAATTTTAAAAGAGGATCTTCGATGACGCTTTCCCGCAGCTGACAAGGGACGTCAGCCTATTAGAAGGGGGGCATTTGTGACGAACCGACTTCGTCACTAAATATCCCTTCGTGATAACAAAATATAAATATAATGTTTATAAGAAAATATTAACACAAATACAAATATCCATGTTAAACACAATAACGAAACATACTTAGTTCATCTTTTCGTTATAATCTGGTTTAAAAAGATTTTAAATATTAATAAAATATAATATCTCTCAATTATTGCAGTTAATTATATTTCACATTTTTATAAATTTACATTGAAAAAGATTAAGAATTTAACTTTAATTAAAAGGATGAGGCTTCAGATACCAATGTATTGTGAAACTTAAGGAGTGGTGTGTCTAGGTTAATGAACCATGATCACACCACTGCCTAAAACTGCAAGCTTGCAGAAAAGCGCCTGGCAACGAG